TAAAAAGAACTGAGTGTAAAATTAAGGAGGACACCTCCCCCCCCAAAAAAACCCTCCGGATTGCCGGGTTCTCTAGTACTTTTTGGGTTCAATGGCCTTATCTCCAGATAACTGACTATAGCATAAAATTTGGAAGGCAGAATATGAGCTGAATATAATTTCTCTACCCACAGAAAATGGTCTATGTATTTGGATTTTTTCCCCTTCAAAATAACGGTTAGTTTAATGAATCAAAGCTTTGTAGAAGGTGGCAAACAGAAACTTGCCTTTTCCCCTTTCTTCACTACTTTCGCCTTAAGGTGGAATTGGAAGGCAGACAGTTTAAGTGTTGAAGAAAAGGGAATTTTTCAAATACACATTGATGTTTTCAGGAATTCTCAGCATTCTTTTTTTCAAATTGTTTTGGAAAGAAAACAATTTTAAAAGCTTTTTATTTTCTTGCTACTTTGGATAAATTTAGAACAAAAGATAGATTGTATCTTTGTGTGAATAATGCATATAAATGCCACCCACCACCCCTGTAGCTCAGTACAATTAAGATAATTTAATTCTCAATTTCATTGCCCTTTTCTTTTTAAGAATTTTTTTTATCCTGTCTTTATTATTTTTATAAATAACTCAAAGCAGTGAACATACATACTACTCCTTCCTCCTTCTATTTTCCCCTCAACAGCCCTGTAAAGTGAGTTGGGCTGAGAGTAATTGGCCCAATGTCGCCCAGCTGGCTTTCCTGCCTAAAATTGGAACTAGAACTCACAGTCTCCAGTTTCTAGCCTGCTGCCTTAACCACTAGACCACATTGGCTCTGGCTCTGTATTTTCAACACTCAGATTCCTCTTTAAGAATAACTGTTAAGAGAATACAAAGACCAGAAACAGTCAAGCCTTATGATGAAAATTCTTACAGATAGATGTGTATGCTCAGCTAGCATTTCTTCCAGTGTCAAAACCCAACTGCCAAATGCTGAGCATCAAAAAAAAAAGCAAAAGAAGCTGATCAATTCCTTTTAATGAGCTTTTTTTTTATTCTAGAAAGAGAACGGCAAATACAGTCCCCACATTTCACAAAGATTTCATTTTTCTTATAGAAGAATTTCAGGATCTTTCCCATTTAGAAATAAAAGATCTAACCAAAAAACCCCCTCTTCCCCTTTTTAAAAAGAGACACCCTCGAAGATGTCCTGGAAAAAAAGACTAAGTCCAAGGCCGAGGTGAACTTCAGGTCAACTAGTCTAACAAATAAGAAAATGTCGCTTGGTGAAAGGCACGCCTTGTTATTTAACAAAGACTGTCAATGTGTAAGATTAATAAGAACCAAAATGTGCCCAGTGTCACTCTTCAGTTACTTTGAATCTTGGGGCAGGGTTGTGTTGAACAAGCTGGGTTAAATATACTCAAAATGCATCAAATCAGTGGCCAGGCACCGTGCCGGATTTGTTGAGCAGCCATCTTCTCCTTTCATCTTCTCTTCCAGGCACATGTGGCAAGACAAAACGTGTGTGTGTGTGTGTGTGTGTGTGTGTGTACACATTTTTTGCTTCAGATGCACACTGCTCTTCTCTAGTCAGCGACCGTTAAAGGAAGATAAATCTACAATTTTGCTCCTCCACTATCCGATCTTGCGAAAGACCCCTGTAGCTTTTATTCGTTTCTTCTTTAATTTCAATAAATTATCCCTCAGCCCAGCTCAGCTCAATCCAACTGGGATGAGAACTTTTGATCTGGAGATAAGGAATGCTCTCTTGTCAATGGAATCATCTTCACCTCCCCAAAAGACTGTGCAGGGTATGTTACTGAGAAGGATGGTGCTTAATGTTGGCTAGGCCAGGTTTCTGGGTGCAGTATGTGTGCCTGTGGAGTAAGCATAAATCTCTGGAGACATAAGGGCGGGGGATGTGCGAACGGCTGCTGGAGAGATAATCCTCGGTGGTCTTGGCCCGGCTCTTGTTTATGATATGATAGGGAAATCATCAAGACAAGGAACAGGCCTATCTCTGGAGTCAGAAAGAATAGCCTGAGAACCACGCAGTGGCTTTGGTCACCTTGGAGATTTACAGGCTGTAGAATCATTTTTATTTCTGTGGTGTTGAGCAAAAGGAGGCACGAGCAAAAGGAGGCACCCAGTGCAAGGCAGTGAAGGGAAGAGAACCGAGAATGGAGAGTGCTAATAATCTTAAGCAGCCCCTGGGACATTCTTGCCAGGTCCTACTCAGCAGACAGAAATAAGGTACTTGCTTTCCATGTATTGTTTTTGTTGTTGTTGTTGTTGAAGGGAGACCTACTTTTTCAATAGTTGTAGTCATCCTCAGGTCCAAGGGGGGGGGGCTTTTCTTTCAAGAAAAGATTCAGAGATGCTCATTGCAACTGCAGACTTGCTGTGTTCCAGTTTGATGGACACACAGGGTTAGGGCCTTAACCATTTAGACTCATCCCAAGTCCTGTTTGTAGCAATAAAATATTGAACCTCCCTACTCCATACCCACCCCTGATGGCAACATCCATATTTCCACTCTCACTCCCATTTAAACCATAAAACAGAAGTGGATAAAACAGGAAAAAAATTGCTTCCCTATGGGATCCAGTGGTGGGGTCTCATCTGTTGCTTACAAGTGTTTTATGGTCTACCCCAAGGAAATGACACCTTCCATGGATAAAGCATGACAGAAAAAATGCTTCATAAAAAGTCTACTGGAGATGATAAAGGAAAATTGCTGTGCCCATTAACAGAGAAGACATGTCTCTGGTATTATCTAAAAACCTGGTCTTTGATTTTATAGGTCAGAGATAGGGTGTTAAAGACAAGAGGCAGTGGGGAAATGTTATTGGAAATAGGAAATGCAACAAGGATATAATAATTTTATATAATTTTAGTAATAAAAATCCTCTTAATGAAAGAGTAATGTTGGGACACGCACAGCACCCCGTAGTCCCCATCCCACCTCAAAAGATTTGGTTATAGGATTTTAATTTGGAAGCAATCATTATACTTATCCATACATAGAGCATGGAAGGTTAATATAACCACAGCAATCTACATTTGCAGTGAAATAATGGGGTAACTGACCCCTTGTCTTCTCCGGACTAAGAAATCTGATAAAAACAGTGACAAACTAAAAACTAAAGAAAAGGGTAGAATACACGTTTACCTGTGGAATAATACTTTAAAATGTTATTTTAGCAGCATAATTTTTGTGATATTCTCCATTCATGAAAAACTCTCATGGATTCACTATGATTTATTCTCAAGGAAATGGCCATAGGCTTGGTCCCCTATTGTAATGATAAAGGAAGAGGGCCTCTTGCTATGCTTATATTTGTTAAACAGATTTAGAACATCAGTTTATGCACTTGCTTCCTTATTCCTCTTTTGTTTTCAGCAGTGATAGCAGAGATAAAAAAACTTTCAGCAGTGACAGAAAGATAAAAACATTTCTCGCATGAAGGCAATAGTTTTCATATTTGTGAAAGGCTTTTCTTTAAAATCACTAGGTTTGGTGGTGCAAAAAGTCATCTGGGCTTCAAAGAAAACTGGGTTTCTGGTAACTTCTTGAATTTCTATGCTTCCTTATTAATACTTGCAGGAATGACTTCATCTTTCTTAACTGCTCTTATAATTAATTGGATTTCTGTTTGATTATGTCTATCAACTTTCATTTCATATCTGCATCTCTAAGAAATGATGTGCCATTCTTGATTTGCTAAGGCGTGTTGGATGTTTAGAATAACTAAATTACAGTAAAAACACCATATTTGAAAGCCCTGGAGAAAGATCAGAAGGAAACAAGTAGCTCCTTGCAATTAGTTGGCCTTTGTTTCTTAATATTTAAAAATGTATTGATTACTACCATTCCTATTTTTTAATATTCCAAAATTTACTGAATACATCATACTGTTCATTCTCATCTTTAGCTGGCTTGGTTATTCTTTCAAAAAGGGAACAGGCAAAGAATAGATACAGGGAAAAAAACAGTTGTACAAAGATTTGCTTGCACAGTTGTACCTCCCGGAAAAGCAGCTTCTGCAGAACGAATTGTGCAATAGCCAATATCTATCTATCTATCTATCTATCTATCTATCTATCTATCTATCTATCTATCTATCTATCTATCTATCTATCTATCTATCTATCTATCTATCTATCTATCTATCTCCATCCATCCATCCATCCATCCATCCATCCCCCCCACACACACTCACTCAGATCATAGCCTTGTATTCAAGAACAATACATCTAGAATATAGATCACCTTTGTTTCCTTCTCTTGATGGGGTACAGGCTTAGAATCTCCAGGCAAACTCTTAATTGTTGGAATTCTTTAATGAATTTCTCTCTAAAAATTACAGAAGCAGTAAGGCCAGCTGATTTGTGATTAAGTGAACTTGGATTTAGGAAAGGCTCCTAAAACAACAAATTAGGATTTCAGAACCCACAAAACCCTTGACAGCTTGCATTTGCAGAATCGTCTTAGGTTCACCTCATTTTGTAGTCTTTCAAAACTTAGAAACGGATCTATTGCTGTTTTCGGAGACCTTCCTTCCTTCCATCCGTCCTTCCCTCGTTTTACTGGATCCCTTCTTCCCTGATCAGGGAAAACGCACATAGGATCATCCTGCGTTTCCTTAACGAATCTTCCTTCTATTTCCTGATCCGGGCTCTGCCAACCGCATAGCAATTGGCTCTGCCGGTCAGGTGGTGGGGGTGGCAGTGGTATCTCTCTTTCTTTCTCTCTCTCCCTCTCTCCCTCCCTCCCTCCCTCCCTCTCTCCCTCCCTCTCCCTCTCTTTCTCTGTGTCTTTGAGCGCGCGTCTGTGTGTACCCGAGCTCACGCTTTGAGCTTTTGGGGTGGGAATTCCCGGGGGAGGGGGAGGGCCCCCCAAACTTTGGCGGGAGGCGCTTGACAACAGCGACGGGAGGGGAGAGAGGAGGAGGCAGGGGGGAAGGGAGGGAAGGAAGGAAGGAGGAAGGGGGAGGAGAGGAGGGGCCTCATCGAGCCCAGAAAAACGACAACGCGAGAAAAATTAGTATTTTTGCACTTCACAAATTAATGGCCATGAGTTCGTTTTTGATAAACTCCAACTACAACGAACCCAAGTTCCCTCCTTGCGAAGAATACTCACAGCTCGGCGGCGGCGGCGGGAACAACTACCACCATCCACACTCCCACCAACACCCCCATCCCCATCATCCCCAGCAAGAGCAAAAACTACAGCAGCTGCACCTGCGCCAGCCTCTTCCAGACTTCTACCAGCGGCCGAGCAGAGAGCCGGGATACCAGCCTCCGCAGCCCCCCACGGCGCGGTACCTAACGCAGCCCTCCCACTACCCCGAGTCGCCTTACAACTACAACAGCCTCAGCGCCCCTCCGGGGCAGGAGCATCCAGCTCCGGGAGCCACGCCACTCCCTTCAGCACAGCCGCCGCCGGCTTCATCCGCTCCTGCCCCGAAGGGCCATCAAGTGGCCTCCCAACCCTTGCTCCAAGGCCACGGCCCACAGCCTCAGCCCCAGCAGCGTCCTTGCGAAGCAGCTTTGGGAGCAGCTTCCGGGGGTAGTCCCGGCTGCCCCCTTTTGCCCGAAAAGAGCTCCCCCAGCCTCAAAGGGAAGGAGCCGGTGGTCTACCCCTGGATGAAGAAGATCCACGTGAGCACGGGTGAGTTGGCCTCTCCAGGGGGATCTGGCACTGAGCGCGGCGAGGACCTGGAGGCTGGGCTAGGGCTGGGTGTGCATTTGGGAGTGGGTTTCTTAGTTTTAAAGCGAAACCCAGAAAGAAAGGAGCAGTGAGAACCCCTTTTGTGGGTGGGGCCCTTGAGCAAAAGATTTATGATGCCAAGCTGTTAGCAATAATGATGGCCCCCATAAATTTAATAGTCCTGGTGGTGGTTCTGGGCGGTAGGTCTTTGAGGTTTCCTTGAGTCCAAATGCCCATCACCAATTTTACTGATCCCTAATTGTCCCCTTTTGTCAAGAGCCTGCGAAACCTTTTCTTCCTATTTAAAAAAGGAGCCCGGCGGCGGCATTGAATTTATGGCACAATAATGATAACCTTCCCTTGCCTTCTTCTTTTGTGCATCTGGGTGTGTGCGCGTGTACCTGCATGTGTGGACGCTCAGTCAGCCCCAGCTACAATGGAGGGGAGCCAAAAAGATCTCGGACTGCCTATACAAGACAACAAGTCCTGGAGCTGGAGAAGGAGTTCCATTTTAACCGCTACCTGACCAGGAGGCGACGCGTTGAGATCGCGCACACACTCTGCCTCTCTGAGCGGCAGGTCAAGATCTGGTTTCAGAACCGGCGGATGAAGTGGAAGAAGGATCACAAATTGCCTAACACCAAGATGCGCTCCTCCAACAATTCTGGTCACCACCAGCCAGCCAAAGCTCCAGCCCAGCAGGGCCCGCCGACCCCCAGAAGCAGGGCCACTTTAAACTCAGCCTCACTATGATGACCAGACTCATAGGGGAGGGGGAGACATCGCTACTCCTAACATTTCTCCAATTCTTGCCTCTTTTTCCTTTTGGCCTGGGGACCAAGCAATTGTACTGAGGGGTAGAAACAGCAGAATAAAAATCCTAGCTGATGAAAAAAGCACATATGTGTTCAAACCAAAAAGTAAATAAGTTCTGGACAGTATTGCTCCTTTGTAAATATGTCCTCCTCTTGCCCTCCATGATCTTTTTTTTTTTTTTTTTTAATTTATGGGAGTTGTGGATAGACCAAACGTTTTAAAAACACTGTTTGTATAGATGTTTTGAGGCAACATAGTATTGATAAGTAACTTTGTGTGTAAACCCTAGGCTTGTGTTGTTTTGTGGAATATTTGTTCCTGCACTCTTGGAAGATGCAGAAGTAAACTGCTCTGATTTCACTAAAGTCATCTGAAAATTAGGGAAGGGGGACACTCAACAACATCCAGCCTCATCCCTGACTGGTTGAAGAAACTGTTTTCCATGTACCAAAAGTACTATTTTTTTTAAGTGTAGTTCTTGCTCCAGTTGTGACAGTAGTCTCCCTAATGTTGCATTTATTCTTATTTTCAAGAAAAATGAACCAACGGTTGCTCTAAAAGCTCAGCTTATATTCATGTCATATCACAGTCCATGACTATGAAAAATACGTGAATTCTATATGTACACATTTGTGAAAGTGTGATGTGTGTGTATGTATATCACTGTATATATAAATACATATATATATATATATATATATATATATATATATATATATATATATATATATATATATATATATATATATATATATATATATATATATATATATATATATATATATATATATATATATATATATATATATATATATATATAATGTCCAGTGCTGTTAATAAAGAATATTCTGTACACAAATAAAATTAAAAGCACTAGACACACTGCCAGAACCATGCATTTCCAAAGTCCGGGCTTTGGTTGATACCTTCTAGCCACATTTTATTTAAACAAGCAGACGTATTGGAGTGTCTAATCTACACACAGAGAAATTGACTGGGTTTGCCATTAGCTGGTAAAGGCTGAATCTTAGTATTAAAGCCAAACAGTATTCAGAATCAACCCAAAACATGTTAGGTGGAAGAAATCATCTGATTTTCAGGGCCCTGATTTTCATACAGCACTTGAGTCTTAGGCCCCTATGACTGCAAGGAAGTGGAAGCAAGTCCTATTGAAATAAACTGGACTAGAGTGGGGATGGTGGGTTAAATAGGATGTTTTTAACCCGACTTGTAACACTCATCTTAAGTAGGCAACTGAGTTTAACTGAGATACCTATGGGAACCTACCCATCATGCAAAAGCAATTCAGTCTTTTTTGCATTTTTGTTTAGAAGCTTTGTCTTTTGTTTGTATACTGTATCCTTACTTCTATGCCACCAGAAATAGAGACTGTTCAGTACACTGGCGGGAATGATTAATATTATTCTTATCACACTAGCCTTACTTTATACCATATTGTAACTGTCTTTTGTTTGTTTGTTAGTAGTAGCAACTTTTCTTCCAGTTTTAATAACACACAATTTCTTGAATTATAATATATTGGCATTCTCCGTGCTAAATAATGCAGAGAGAGAGAGAGAGAGAAGGGCTGTGGACTGCCATCAGGAAGATGGGTCTTGATATAACAATTTTACAGCTGATTCTTTGAATGGTTTGTACAATGTGCACATATAAAAAATCTCCAACTTAAAGATAGAAGAGAATGGCACAGAAAACATAGGAGGCTTCCCTCCTTTTTTATGCTGAGCCTCTTTGTCTAAACTTTGTGTTTGACATGAAGATTTTTTCCCCCTGCTAATTTACAGAAACTTACAAATTAAGAGGAAATCTTCAAGGTGTTTAATCAGCCACATAAGTAAAAAATTATGCATCCTCTTTTACTTCCCGTGTCTTATGCTGGGTGCCCCCCCTTCCCCTCTCTTTACCCAGGGTTAAAAAAAAAAAAGCAAAATGAAATCATGCTGAAAATAGCAATTTTACTGGGAATCATTAATCACCCCCTACAATAAATACTTCTTTGTAATTCAACAGCGATTCTGAAAGGCATTCTCTTGGAAAAGGTCTGCGAAGATACCACAGAAGGATTGGGGAAAATGTGTTCATGTATAAAAGACACACAGTTGCTTGGCTGCACCCTGAAGGTGTATGCTTTCAGGGTGGAGTATCAGACCCGGCAGAAAAATACATATGGCAGATTGTCACCGTTCAAGGTAATTTAAAAAAAAACATTTTATGGATCTTTTCCCATATTGTCACTTAAATGTGTAGTTGCACTTGGGAATGGGGATGGGCAGGGGTGGGGGAGCAGGAGAGGCTGTGTTGTTATATGGTAGGTGCCCTGGGTTTCTACCTTAGCTGGCCTAATTAATGTTACAATTGTTCCAAGAAAGACAGGGTAGGTGTTTAAACCCTACTATTGTCCTGTCATTGCACCAGGGCAAGGAGTAGAGTTCACTGAAAGGACACATTTTCTGTCCCATTAATTGTTTTTTAAAGAAGCAGACTGACCCATCAAACCCTTGACCTTTAAAGGCAGTATTCTTTCTAATCTGATTCTTGGACTTAAATATGCTTCTCTTTTTTTGTCTCCTCCCCTCCCTTTTATGTCCCTCACACACACAAATAGATATGTGCAAACATATTTTCCTTGTTGTAAAGGAAGAGGATTCTAAAATCAAGTGTTTCTTTTAAAGTTGCACCTGGGGGGGGGGAGAAAAAAAGAAAAGAGAAAGAAATCTCCTTTCTCCAAAATAGTCCAATGGTGCTCCCACAGGAGGCAGAGCAGGGCAAGGAAGGCTATTGCTTCTGCCACTCCAATTTGTGGGATGACACAGAGATTTGTTTATTTTTGTTTTGTTTAACCACTGCTTGTGGAATTCATTCAAACCCTTAAGAATCCTGGCTATAGACAGGCTCTAGAAATATGGACTGCCATTTTAGCCAGCAGCCACAAAAAATTACAATACATGGTCTGGCTGATGGAGGTGCTGGGCTGGTGGGGGGGAGTGATGGTAGGAAGAGGAAAAGAAGGCTGAAAAGTATTTTCCTTTTACTGGTGTCTCTATTTTTCAAGCAGGAATAAAGGTTAGACTGATAGAAAGCGTGGCCCTTTCTTTTCTTGCTTTCTGCTCTTGCCATCTTGTTTGCTATCTTTCTCCCCTTTTGACCTTATATCAGTTCTGGGACTGATTCTCACTCCCACCATTTCTGTGCTTGATGACCGAGATTGCGTAGCTAACTTGGGGAGGGGTTCCCCTCTTCCTCCCCCTAAATAAAAATGAGAGAAAAGTGCTCTTTTGTTTGCTTAGCTAGCTCCCCACAGAAATATACAAAAAGATCGATATCGTAGTGACACCATTACATGAAGCAACCTTAGTGTGAACCAACTCGAAGACCAATAAACAAGAAAGGGAAGCGTTCTCTTGTGATTTATGACAGGCACAGAAGAGTATGGTTGAGGCTGTTGAAGGAACTACACTGCCTGGCTTTTCCTATACCTTTGCACTGCAAGAGGAGAGAGCAATGGAGAAAGGACACTTGTTAGGGAAGTTCCAGTTTAGCCTTTCTAGCCTAGTAGTGCCTTCTAGATTTTCCTGAGCCCAGTTTTCTTTTTTAAAAGCTATGGAAAGTTTTTCTAGATTTCAGAAAATACAGTTTGGGGGGGAAATCTGATTATCCTTAAAATGATGAATGAGATAACCAGGGATGGGACACTGAAGATAACACTGTTTTTGAGCAATGTGGAATTTTGCAGATTTGTTTGAAGATGCTATCTAGTGCTCTCCCCATTCCATAAGAGATCTTCATCAATGCATGTGAGGCCTCTTCTTTAAGATCACGTATGCCTGGATCACAGCTGAACCTGCTGGCCTCCAACAGGCCAAAATGTCTCCTTCCTGATATGGTTTTAGCACAAATATAAGCCGGATCGTGCTGAAATCCAGCTGAATTGCACTGGGATGGATTTTCACTAAATTAGTTATATTTAGTTTCAAATTACATGAGGAGACATTGATTGACTTGTCACATTAACCTCAATCAGACCTAAGAGCAGTTAAAGCCATTTTCACTCCACTGGGTCTAGCATCTTCTACAACCATCCACCTATGCTGTAATGCTAGAAAGCCTATTCTCATGAATGATACTACCCTAGTGATGACTTGAAATAGTCTATGATCATAATCCTATATACATTTCTTGCAAACTAGACCTGAAGTTAGAGGAGCTTGACTTGACTTGACTCCTAGGCAAGTCATTCTCTCTATCCCAACTTATCTCACAGGGTTGTTGTGGGGAAAATACCTTCGGGGGGGGGGGGACGTTGTGCTGAATATGTTCACTGCCTTTAGTTATTTCTAAAACTAATAAAGGTTGGATACAAATAAATGAAAATAAAATAAATATCTCTGCTGAAACTTAGTCCAGCTCCAGCCCAATGAAGCTTAGTTACAATTTGCTTAGTGGCAAAAGTTTTTCACACCTTCCACACCACATTTCAGTAGGATTCAGTTGGCCTTCCCAGTGTTCTCTCTGGGTTTGACCAAAGGCCAAGGCATTTCCCTTCCTTGAAGAGTGCTAATATTCCTGCAAGCTGCACAATTAATCCAGATTTCATCGCCTTCCATATCATTCAAAGAAAGGCCACGAATAGGGAATTATGAAGCATTTGATAGCCTTTCTTTGAAGAGCCTGGCTATCTGGCACTCTCATCACAAACACTCCTGCCAGTGTCTTGGCTGGAACAAAAACCCAGTTATGCCCCTACCTGCAGCTGACAATACAAATTCGAATCCCAGTGACTGATGGGGGGTGGGGTGGGGGGTGGAGAGCATGTTTGTCTGTTCATTCTCCCCTAGTTTGACACTCCTCCCTCCCCCCCCCCCCCCCCCCCCCCCCCCCCCCCCNATTATTGATGTCCAAACGACCTCTTCGAAAAC